TATAATCTTGAGGTCTCTTCTTGGTTTTATTTTTCCTTTCTGCACGAAATAAGATGCTTTCATAAGTACAACATGCAGCTTGGTTAGTTTTGTTGGATCATGAGGTGCCCTTATGCACAGAAAGCTCCGTAATCTGTACCTCCACCCAATGGTGTGACACTGACATAGAAATTGAGTAGCATGCCATTAAACACCAAGGAAACCCACCAAAGAAACATTTTCTTTTTTCTCAGCTGGCCGTGTGCATAGCTGCACTTGGGACAAAACTGGTGAAATGGGGTTAAGGGAGCAGCTGCTCAATACTCCAGCTTGAGATGGTATGTGACACAGAACCTGCCCTGGTATCAAAATATTGCTAAAAAACTGGATGAGTAACTTAGAGTAGTAGGAGAAATGGAAGTCAGACAGGTGAAGTGGAAAGTGAATGACTGTACATCTCAAGGACAAGAATTTTTAAAAAACAAAATCTATAGATAAAGGTATTGATGCTATACCCTGGAGAAGTTAAAATGCTATTATTTATTTCCTGTTTTATGGGGTATTGTTTATAGACCATGTACTTCTGCAAAGATAGTGGTTTTGCTAGGTAGTTCTGGATTTCTTTAGAACATGTCCCACATGAGTCACGGGAACATTGATGAGCTCAAAGGCCCAACAATGTGAATGTTGTGTCTGTATCATCTTATTCAATCAGAATGCCTTGATGAGCTATGAAATACTAACATGCTTAAAAAAACAAGTCACCTTGAAATATCTGTTGCATGAAAATCACTCTATGTTACATTGGTACAACACAAATATTTGTTATAAACAAGTGAAAGAGGGAGCGGAAATAAGGGTGTAAACACCTCATCTGGGCATGTTTACTACATAAAATCAACTGTAATTATAATAGCAATTAGAAAGCAATGCCCCCAGTAGTTTTGGGATCCTAATAAACAAAGGAGATACCAATATAGGTAGCAGAGTGAAATGAAGAGTCACAGGTACTGTCTTTTGCCACTTCTCTGTTCTGTGGCTCATAAACGCTCTGCAAAGAGGAATTATGGCACTAAGAAAGGTCTGAGAACTACATGCTAATAAATGCTAATTATTATCAGTGTGTATTTCAGGCAAACTCAGGAATCAGAACAGACACAAATGAACCCTCAATTATGTCTGGTTACATCCAGGAAAACCACAAGTTCTTTTGCACAATTATCTATAACAGATACATACACACATCCATAAGCATATATATGCATATATACATATATAGCTTGCTGAACATTAAGATTGCTCTTTAAGAATGACCTAACACCCTTGGATTCATTATCTTTGGGGAGCAGTAGCGGTCAAAATGCCCACTACTGTTGTGTTCATTTCAACATGGAGAACGATGTGAAAATGAGAAAGTTTGCCAAGAACAGACAAAGAATCCACACAAGACAATTAAATCCATAAAGGTGAGATGAAGACTACACAAGGAGACCCAATAGGCAGCAGAGTGCCAATGCACACTATTTACTGAACACTCCTGAAGTACAAATGAGCAATCATGGACTAACAGGAAAGAAAAATAAAGAAGATGTTCTTCCAAAAGCTAAAGACATATGCAAATGGAAAAAAAAAAAAAAACCAAAACCAAACCAAAGTATCATAAACACTGATAGATATACTCTTACAACTATTATGAGTCTGAGACCTAACTACTGAGAATCAAAAATTGGTCAATATTCCTTTTTCAATCCATCAGGAAGGAAGAGATTGTCAGTGAGTCTGAAAATGACAAGAGTACAAACTGAACTCTCAGGGAGGGCAAAATCACTGGAGAGAAGCTGAACACTTTATATCCTTTGGTTACTGTGGAGGATGGGTTTGTAAAAAGGCAAGGAGAGACTGGAAAAAACTTTGGAAGAGATGCTGTAGAGTGCACTAACTAGATAAATCACATAATCTGACTTGAAAATGTTTGAAGGCGATTTCACAGATACATTCATTCATGGAGGCTGTGGGGTTTTTACATTTCAGTGGACCCTCAATACACAGCTTTGCTTTTACTATTCTCCAAATGACCTTTAGTGTGGTTTCTAATAGAGTGGGACTCCCATTTGTCCTCACAGTGATATTTCTCATGTTGCCCCTCAACTGAATAACTGTCTGGCTCAGCTGACCAACTGCAGTGCTCTGCAAAGGCACATTTTATGTGTTTTTATGGAGTCCCTCCCACTAATATGACTAGCTGGATTATGTGTAAGGCTGTGCTTGTTCTGAAACCACTATTGATTAAATGCTGAGATGAATTTTTTTTTAGAAGCTGTCATTTGAACATGCTTAGGCTGCACTTGCTGTCAGCTTAACAGTCATGTTTCTGTGTCTTCCTCTAAATTCCTCTCCCAGCTGGGCTCTTTCATATCTTAGCATTAAAATAGTTCCTTCCTAATTAGACAGATCTCTGTCATGATAATCATCTTGAGAACGTATGCTGTATTTTCATACTGCGTATCTTTCCACAGATCAGGCCTGTTTTATCATTTTTCAAACTCCTAACTCGCTGAATAGATCTCTCACCAAGCAATCATCTCCTGTAGCTGGTAATTAGCGTCCTGTCAGCTGATAGTAGTCGGCATTACTGTTCATCTGCTGCCATCAGCACGTTCATCTTAGATCATTTGGAATTCTGATAGGTTTGATTCTTTTCAAATTCCAGTTGTGAGGATGGTGTTCCAAAGCTGATGTGCAAACAGGGGAAAAAAGGTTACAGGGCAAATAAACACATTTGTGCGTGCAAAGGGAATTTCTGCAGAAGAGGTGTTTGTTTGTAAGCCCATGGTCATAAAAGTGAGAGGACACACAATCATGAGCGAGTCTGTGATTGTGTCTGACTACAGAACTGAGCTGTTTGGTCAAGGCTGTGAGGAACATCTGTTTTAATGACAATAATCAGTAGTTAGAACAAAACTGAGATCTCTCTATTTCGTGTATTGCTCAGGCTATAATACAAGGAATTTGTTTCTTGTTTTTATTTTTTCAGTCTCGGAGGCTTAGCAGAAGTGTTGTCCTTCTCAAAAATTGGATTTAAATAGTTCACTAAATAGCTCATTTTACTTTAGCTTTTTAGAAGCTGGTGATTGTTTATGTAAGTGTCCTTAAAATAAATGATGCAAAAATGAACTGTGAAATCTTATCTGGTGATTTGTTTGCAAAACTTCTAACACTAAGCACTGGTTACTCCAAAATTTCTTTTACTCCAATCATCACCCTTGGGCTGTGCAGCCTGGCAGAACCAAGGTGCGTAGCCGAGGGATAAAAAAAATCCTACATTTTTAATAGGCTGAAATTAAATTCTATAGCAATACAACTTAAAAATTACCACGTTGACAACTGCCAAAGTAATATGCTGAAAGTTAAGGTGTGTTTGTGTGACTTCATAGAGATTGAAAAATGCTATTAATTGCAGTCGTAGGAAAAGAAGAAGACTTCTGTAAAATGCACCGAAAAAGCAGTCTGTAAGGAGACCACTGCTTTTACAGGTATTTCTGCCCGGTGGGTGTAAAAAAACTTCTTTTTCTGGCCAGGCTGCAGCACACGGGCTGCGGGCTGCAGGGGGCACTGATGAGGAAGCCAAAAAGTGCTCGCTCCGAGTTAAACCTACTTAGAGCCCTTTCCCTCCCTGGCCTGAGCACACTTTCCATTTCTACTACTACTACTACTACTACTGCTACTACTATTACTACTACTACTACTATTATTATTATTATTATTATTCCTGAAATTCCTTCTTTTTTCCTCCTGTTTCTATTCTTACATTGAATCTTACCTGTTCAGCTACTACAGAAATTCAGTTACTAGCAGAAGTACAGCACATCCCCCGTCTCCAAATTAAGAGAGGTACGAATGTCTATAATTGACTCAGGATTGCAGCTTCCCCACATTCTTATGCTGCTTCTGAGCAGAGCTGTAATTTCCCCGTGCTGGGTCTGTGATAACGTAGTAATCAATGATCATGAAGCACTTCAAGTGAGTTCTCAAACTGATTCTACAGAAAAGTTTTCTTTTCTGGAGGGACGATCTGTTTGTTAATCCCAGCGTAGGTCAGGTACTAATTGCTGTTTTTATTTGTCCACTATTATGTTCCATCCCAACATAGCCATGAGTTGTGGCAATAGGCATGAAACCAACCCCAAATTTCATGCTGCTGAGCACTTAAATAAGACAAAGACTGCTCTTTGTCACCGTATCTTAGAAATAGTATCCTATGCTAATCTGCAGTGGCAAAAATGAAGATGGTTTAAATCAGATTACATTACCAGTGCGTGAGTTCCCAATTTTCCTTAAATCGGCTGCATGTTAGAGAACAAGGGCGTCTCTCTGAGATAATTCTGTTCTATACAGATGTATTAAAAAAAATTGGAAGTGCATTTCTCACAGGGCTAGATAGAAAATAACACTCAACGACAATTGTGGGCGCAATAGCTTTGTCTGCCAAACGGTTTAAAGCCAGATTCCCGGGATGTTATTCCTGATCCATGAATCACCGGCGCTCTCTGCGGAGGCAGCCGCTCTCTATGTTCTCCCGGAGCAATGCCGCTGTCGGCCGTGTCGTGTTTCCCGTGCTGTCTGAAATAGCAAGTTCAGCCCGCGCCGGGGAGGCAGGCAGGGCTGTGCGCTGCGCTCCATCCATTATGCAACAGTTGACACGGGAGCCAAGGGCGGCACACGCCGCTGCCCGCGGCCCCGAGCGGGCCGGAGCTCCGCCCGCCGCGGCGCCGGTGCCGGTGCCGGTGCCGGTGCGGTGGGGCCGCGGGGCCGGCAGGTGTCGGGGCCCGCTCACCGTGAGCGCCATGTCCGCTCCTGCGGGTCGGTCCGCGCCGGGTTTTGCACCGTGTCCCCGGGCCTGCCTCCCGGCCCCGAGCCGCCGCCGCCGCGGTGGGCGCTCCTGCCCTGGTATCACTCCGCTGGCACGGACGGGAGGCGGCGCGGCAGCAGAGCGTGTGAGCATTGTCATGGTGGTGGCAGCAGCAGCAGCACCGGCACGGCACAGCCAAGCGCCAGGCTGCATCGCTCAGCCTTTGGCAGAGCGCTACTTTTTTTTTCTTTTCCTTTTTGTTTTTTCCTCTCCATCTCGGTCCGGATTGTTCATGTGTTTACTTCCCCCAGCCCGAGGATTTGCTATTTAGGTTCCTGTTGAAATGCAACTGAGCAGCCAAAGTACTTTGCGAACACCCAAACTTTTTTCTAGAAGGAAAATACAATAAGCAAGCGGCTTTGCCTGTCTGTTGATGCCGGGGAGCGCGAGTGAGTGTGCCGTGTGTGCCCTGCGTGTGCCCGTGCTCGGATGTGTGTGTGCAAACGTGCGTGTGAACGGGCGTGCATGTGGAGGGGCGCGTGTTTCTCCCCATCCATGGGGAGAGAAGGCTTTTGGCAACATCTCCGGAAATCTCATGGAATCTGTTTTGAAATAATGGATTATAAAAAAGAAAGAGGAGGAAAGGAACTGGTCTGATATCTCCTGGAGTTTGCTAACCCGAACTGCTGCTGCTGCTTAGTTTGTTGTGCTTTTTGTGTGTGTGTCTGTGTGTGTTTGTGCGTGTTGCTGGCGATAACCTTTTAGCACCTTCTCTATTTCCCTCCCCCCTTCCCTCTCTCTTTTTAATGTTTTGGAGCTTCTCGAGAGGGATTGGCTGGGGGAAAAGAGAAACATTTGCTTGGGATCACTGTTTCCCTGAGACATGATGGTGCCCCTTTCCCGCCCCCGTCCCCGGTTCTCTGAAAAGTATGCCATCAGGACCCCGGAGAGACTGTCCGTGTGAAGTGTAGGATAAAAAGTTCTTCCAAAATAGTGTGCGCGGGGCCGAGCATGGGGGATTTCGCAGCCCCCACTGCCGCCGCGAACGGCAGCAGCATTTGCATCAACAATAATCTGAAGAGCGGCCTCGGCGGGGCCGGTGCCGGGGCTGGCGGCTCTCCGCACGGCCCCGCCGCCGGTAACAATGCCGTCCCCAAGCACAGCACGGTGGTGGAGCGGCTGAGGCAGCGCATCGAGGGCTGCCGGCGGCACCATGTCAGCTGCGAGAGTAGGTACCAGCAAGCGCAGGCGGAGCAGCTGGAGCTGGAGCGCAGGGACACGGTCAGCCTCTACCAGCGGACCCTGGAGCAGAGGGCCAAGAAAGCGGGCACCGGCACCGGCGGCAGCAAGCAGCAGCAGCAGAGCAAGCAGCAGCAGGATGCCGAGCCCGCTGCGGCGGAGCAGAGGAACCACACGCTGATCATGGTAAGGGCTGCGGGCCGGGGCTGGGATGAGCTGCAGCTCGGGCCCGTGGCTCGGCAAGGGGAAGCGGGGCTCGGCTCAACTTTGGCAGGGCTCTGGCGGGACGCTCCGCAACTTCTCACGGGCTGGGCTGGAGAGAGCGGACAATTGTTTTTTCCCCCTTCGGAAGGGTAGAAGTGCTCTGGGGTAGGGGGAAGGAGCGGTGCCAGGCGTGCACGGGGAGCCAAGGGAGGGTTTTGTGTGTGTGTGAGTGTGCGTGTGCGTGGGGCTGGCCCCTTTAAACCCCGCAGGCTGCAGGGAAAGTTGGGCAGGATTCTTGCTGGGGCTGCCCCGGCGTGCGGCAGCCCGGCTCCCCACGCTGCTGAGCCGCTTCCCAAAGTTTTCTCGGGAATTAAGGAGCTTAGCGAGCAGCGGAGGGGCGGAAGGGGGCGGGGGCTGGGCCGGTAGAAGCGTAGCGGCGAGTAGGAAGCGGAGTTTCCCACTCCCCGGCTGCGCCGATGAATAATGAGAGCTGTGGGGGGAGCCGGGCCCTGCGCTCCGCCTGAGCCTCATTTAGAGCCGGTGGCGGCCGCCGGCGGTTCTGCTGGGGCTGCTGGTGCTGGCTGGCGGGCGGCTGTGCCCTGTGGGACACGCGAGGGTGTCCGTGTGTCCTGACGTGTGTCCGTGTGTCCTGACGTGTCCCCCGGCGGGCGGGGTGCGGGACTCGGGGGCGGGCACGGGCAGCAGCGGGGCGCTCCCGGCTGCCGGGGCACAATGGGAGGAGGGAGGCGCGATGGCAGCGTGCGCTTTACAAGCCTCGCACGTCCCTCGCTGTCGCCGCCCTGCGCTGCGCGGGAGGCGCGGAGGGGCCGGCGGGGCGGCAGCTGCTGGCGGCCGCCGGGGGAGGGCTCGGTGACAAAGCGGCGGGTGGCCGTCCTGCCTCTCGCCCTCCCCGCTTTCCGTGCGATTTGTGTCCCTCCGAGGCCGCGCCGAGCCTGCCCAACCCCGGCCGCAAGTGCCGGCTCGGTGCCGGGCAGCGATCCCCACCCCGTCCCGCTGCCCCTGCTCCGCTGCCCCGCGGCGGGGATCGCTCCGGCAGCGCGAACAAAAGCTCAGCGCCAGTGCTGCCCCCGCCTCCCGGGCTGGGAGTGCAGCATCTCCCGGCGAGGCCGGCGGGAGGCGGGGATGCGCGGGGATGAGCGGGGATGCGCAGGGAGCGGGAATGAGCGGGGCCGCGCAGGGAGTGAGGATGCGCGGGGAGCGGGGATGCGCAGAGATGCGCGGAGATGCGCGGGCAACGGGGGTGAGCAGAGATGCGCGGGGATGCGCAGGGAGCGGGGCCGGGCGGAATGCGTGCGGTGCCCTTGGCAAACAGGAAGCAGAGCGACCTCACTGACATCTTGCTGCTGTCCTGATGTTAGCAGCGAGCCATAGCCGTGTTTCCCTTCCCTCAACAGCCAGGCTTTAAAAGACGCTCCTCAGCATGGAGCTTTGCCTCGGCTTACCCCTATCCCGGGGCAGCAACAGAGTCACTCCCCTGTGAGCAGGCACCGAGTTTTCGTCATTTGAGCTGTCCTCAGATCCCCTTTCACACCTCATGTGTGCTCCACAAGGCATAGGAGAGGGGCTGGAGGCTTAGCAGACATTCCCAGAATGATTCTCTCCGGGGCAGCGCTGTGTCCCCGTCCAGCTCCAGCGCAGCCCAGGTGCTTTTGAGCCTCGGCTAGGATATAATATAATATAATATAATATAATATAATATAATATAATATAATATAATATAATATAATATAATATAATGTAATTATAATATAATATTTCTCCTTTCCCCTTATTGCCAAGCCCCGGTGCTGAGGCATTAAAGCCAGGATTGTTTGATAAGTAGGTAGTTGGTCTTCCCCTGAAGATGTGGGACAGAAAGCCAGAGCTATAATGTGGAAGTTGTAGAAAGGAAAAAATAAAAGGGGGAAGTGCAGTTTCAGCTCTCACTGTTACTAGACCCTTTCTAACACTTTAAAAGCTAAGAGCAGCCTAATTAGGAAATAGTTTATTATGGAATTTATCATAACTCAATTCCTGGGCTATGATCTTCATGTTATTTGAATATACTCAATGTGCCCTACGCCTTTAATCTTAAAAACATAAATTCCACTGCCTTATTACAAAAAAAGACCCATTTCCGTTTGTGTTTTTTTTTTTAAATACACAAATGTTGCCAAAAAAAATCTAGACACATCATCTGCTTTGTTTCACTTGTAAAGTGTTAATTATGATTTTTGACTAATGTCTGAGGACACTGGGGAGCATCCATGGGAACATGAAAGCAGTACTTAAAACCCAAGAGATTACTCTTTTTCAAGCAAGCAGTTGGAAATTATTTTCTTTCAGACATTTATGCTTTTTGCAGCAAAACCAAATGCAAACTCCCAAACTTCTTAGTTTCTAGCAATCATATCAGTATGGTAAGTTTAACCGTTTATGTACATCATGACTTTTATTTAGCAGAAAAATTCAACCTAAGTTTTAAATTTTTTTTTTTTTTTTTTTTTTACATAGGGAAAACATTAAGTACATTTAGGGGTTTTCTCCCTTTCTTTATTCTCTGGTAAACTCCAGTGTAAACTTTCACTGTGGAACAGTCTGCTGAGAATCTGTCACTAGTTTACTCTTCTTTTTACACAAAAATCATTATTAGATTTTTCACTCATATTATTAAACTGCATGATTTGGAAAAGAAGCTGTTTGCATTAAATGACAACAAACCCAATGAGGACAGCAAGAAATGCTTTTTCTAACTATTTTTTTTTCAATGAAAGTAAATTAAAGGAAAATATAATCTCTGTGTGTGTGTGTATGTGTCCTCCAAACTGAGAGTTGGATTATTAAAATGCTGTACCAGCCTGGCTTTCAGAGGAAGTATTGGGAAAATTTGCAATTCATCTCAAACTCTGCTGTTCATTTGGGGATCGGTTCCAGGAAATATCAACACATTATATCAGTTCTTTGGTGCTTTGTGAGCTAATCTGCTTTCTTGTTTCCTTCTTTCAGTGCAAGAGTCCTCTTGGCTCTGCATCCCTGTTATGTGTGGGGTTCAGAGGTTGTAGGTGTGTGTATACACATACATTATATAGAGAATAAATTATATATTTAGTATGTAATAGCCAAATACATAATAATAACTGCAAGTTGTATCACTTATTTTTCTTATCCCTGTGACTGTTGTCCTTACCATGCATTCTTTGTGCAGTGACATGTGTAATTATCACACTGGTCTTCCAGTACACATTTATTTACATCTGAGCTCTCTTGTAAACTATGAAGAGGCTGGAGCTACTTTTTCCTACTTTAAGGCCCTTTGAGACTTTTTTTTGTTTTAATTTAGCATTGTTGTGGGTTTGATAGCCACTGTCTTACTCTCCTTTTCCTACTCTAAACCCAGTACTTGGGAAATTGTGTTTTAAACACAATTGCATATGTTCACAAACCTGAGCACATTTCTTGTGTTCTTTCTTGTGTAGTATTGCTATGCCACTTCACATCACTCATGCTATAGGAAAAGTCCATTGCTCTGGCATTGCGAAGATGAAAGAAGAAGATAATTTTTTAGATGTTTTGTTTTGTTTTCCACAAGAAGTCAAATACTTGTAGCCCTTACTCATGCCTGATGACTAAGTAGGATTAAGCATCTCTTCAGTTAATAAGCTATGTCTGATCTTGCTCACACAGGGGTAAAGTCAGTAGTAAATACACAACAGGGATGATACCAGAGTTAAATCCCAGGCCAGCAATGGAAGGAGTCATTGTGTAACCCTTTTTAGTTTCCCTTTCCTGTAAGGGTGGATCTCTGTGTCTTTCTTACTCCACAGGCCTCTCCCATTTGTTTTCTCCTTTTCATACCAACGGGGGCTCGATGTGCCTGTGTGATTGCTGTCCTCAGGACAAGGAGTTTTTGTGCTGACCTCCTTTTGCAGCTAATCAGCACAATAGGTTTCAGTGTAGCAAACTGAAAGCAATGAAGAGACTCTTCATTTGGAGCACTGCTAGCCTCTGGTGACCTTTAATGCTCGGATGGAAAGTGTGTCCCTCTCAAAGACAGTGGCTTGGGTTATTACAAGCCGTAGCCTGAGCAGGGCAAGCTGTATTTTGACACAGGGTATCCAGTGGTAGTGAAATCTCAGCTTCAAGTTGACCAAACAGAATGTGCTGAAAGTCCTGCAGTGAAATTCTGGGCATTGTGAAGTTCAGGAAGAGCAGCTTTGTCTGGAACACATCAAAAACCCGTTCTGCTAGCGCAGCGCCGAAAATATGAACGTGTGATTATGTTAGGACAATTGGCTGCATTTAGATTAACCTCAGTTTACAGTAGCTTGACCTAAAGCTTGAGGCTGCACAAATGGTCTCAGTTGGTGCAAGCTGAGCTGAGGAAGTGTCTCTCTCTCCTCTTTCCTGCTCCTGTGCTGAGGGCTCTGCTTGTGCATCCCCGGGTTCACGGGGCAGGGCAAGGGCACGCATGCTCCTTCCCTCTCCTTGGGTTCTCTTTGGCTGGATCACATCCATCCTCTGTTTGTTTGGCTGTCCCTCCCGCAGGGAGCAGGAATTACAACACCTTAATGCTCCTGTGAAACCCAGCCCTTATCCCAGGATAAACACCTGGGCCCTGCCTGATGGCACACACTGAACCTCGGCTGAGTTAGGCCTGGTGTTGTTACACCTGGTGTCAGTGCACAACTCTGCTCCTGAGCACAGCCACTGGAGCAGGGGCACCTGTGGGCAGCACAGGAGCCAGGGCTCATTGTTATTTAAACACTTGCATGTACAGGACACTTGGTTGTGTATAATTCATGTGAGAGGTGTGCTTGAATTAACAGAGGTGTAAGAACAGGCAGTGGCTGCTGACTGGAATGCTCCAAGTGTGCTGTGAATTGTGAATTGAAGTGTGAGGTGCAGCCTTGTCGGGGGACACAGTGTGGGTAAATGAAGGTGGGAGAGAATGTAATCATGTCCCCAACGAGTTGCAGCTGAAC